ATTAAAGTTTTGTAAATAACTTCTGCCTGTTTATTTGCCGTTGCTTTTTGTAAAACTGGAATACTTAAAAATTTTTCTGTATCACCACTTGAAATTACAATGGCTAGCCTTTCAATAATATCTTTTCCAACCAAATTAGGAAGAAGCTTGCCATCCCAGTGTAATACAACAGCTTTAAGATTACTTTCTTGAAATTTATCTTTTATTATACTCGCTCTCTCCTTAMKCAAAATCTGTCGACAACGTTGAATTGATGTCCTATTAATAACAAAGTCCTCCACATTTTTTTCTAGAGCTTCTACCACTGTCATAATGATATGAATTGTCCCCCTATCACTTACTTTACAGTTGTCTAGTACACAAACTAATTTAGTAGTAATTATGTTCTTCTGTCCTCTTACTCGTTTTGATGATGAAGGTCCAACATCTATTTCTACGGAACTAAAAGATTCGTCCATCTCTGAGCGACTAGAAAAGTCGTCTATCTCTAAGTCACTTGATATTTCGTCTATTTGCATTAAATTGTCTAAGAAAAAAAAATAAATATTATTCCATTTATTGAACCAAATATATAAAAACATAAATTAACATTTACAATTACCTTCAGATTGGGTACTTCGCTTTTCTGTTATAAGTGTTTTATTTTTTCTTTCCATAAAGTTGCTCTTTTCGCATATTTGTATAATAAATTCCATACATAAATCCTATACGTCCTTTTTTTCGTTGATTTATTAAAAATAGTCTATCTGTTKCGATTTTCATAATTTGTAGAGCATCAGCATGGGCTACATCAAATAAATCATTAAATGTTGAAATAAACAGTTTTTCGTGTTCCTTATGACTTTCTGTATTTCTTGTGGCATGCTTTTGACGTGTTCTCCACTCATCGTATAAAGATCCAACTTTAGATATACAGTGTTTTTCTAATCGTACTGGAATACGGGCTTTTCCCCAAAAAACAAACACTTCTCGAATAATTTATCTAGCACTTTCACGAAGATTCAATTTTACGACTCTTAAATCAAAAAACATAGTCTTCAATACTTCTAAATTAGACGGTAATTTACTTCCTGATATTTTATTTGAATAGTTGTTAATTAAATAAATTTTCTCTCGTAAACATATATTATAAGACATTATTAAACGTAAAATATTAACAACAGTGTACAAGAGGATGAAACATAAGTACAAAACTACAAATTAAACTTATCTGCAGGCAAACAGTGAATAGTGAACACAATTTGTTGAATGACAGCAAAAGGTACAATAYTATTAAATATAAACGGTTTTTGTAATCTTATCTTTATATTATAACCACARTAATTGACTGAAATAGTGAAATCGATTACATTATAATTTAATAATAATTTGGTAGATTATT